ATCAATGATATATTGGCCTCATAAAATGAGTCAGGAAGCATTCATTACTCTTCTATTTTATAGAAGGGGATGTGTACAATTTGTGTTAATTCTTCTTTAAATATTTCACAAAATTTCCCAGTGAAGCCATTTGGGCCTGGGAAATTCTTTCAGGAGCTTTTTAGTTACAAATCTAATTTCTTTAATGGGTATAGGAATCTTCAGTTGATTGATTTCATCTTGTTTGAGTTTTGGTAGTTGTCTTAGGCTGTGTTCTCTAGAGAAGCAAAACCAATAAAGCATATATGAATATATATATATAGAGAGAGATTTATATTAAGGAAATAGCTCATGAGGTGGAAAAGGCTGGAACATCCCAAGTCCATGGGTCATGATAGAGGCTTCTCTTGATTTGTGTAGCTGCAGGGGCTGGCTAATCCAAGATCGGTAGGTCGGAGAGCAGAGCTCTTGTTCACAGGCTGTGAAGATCGATGAATCCCAAGATCAGAGGTATGACTGTAGGTAAGCTGCTAGCTAGAGTCAGATGAACAGGAGCCAGCTGCAGGATCCAGAAAGAGCAAAAGCCCACAAGCCTTGCCAGAATGTCCACTTATATTCAATGCAGGCCACACACCCAAGGACACTCCCTTCCAACTGACTGGCTACTCACAGAACACATCATGGAGGTAATCACATCATATCAAATTTCATCATGGAAGTGATCACAACATTATACGACTGTCAAACCACTGAGAATCATGGCCCAGCCAAGTAGAGACACAACCTTAACCATCACAGTCCACCCCTTGTCAACTTGGCACCTGTAAGTATCTCTGTAAACCATACATAATCTCTGAATAAAGACAACTATAAAGTCATACTTATGCCTAACATGATACAACAAACACACATACAAAGCAGAAACACTCATAACAATTACAGCCCTTGTTTCTGCAGCTGTTCACATGGTTGTAACTGGTATTTAGAACCATCTTCTTTCACCACATATTCCATATTCCCTTTGCCCTCAGCAAGCACCTCAGCTGGTCATGTTTCTTTGCCTGCTGGAGCTACAGAGCTTTGGAACACTTGTCCCAGGAGGGCAGACGTGGGCAGTGAGGCTTGAGGGGATGAGAGGTCAAGAAACCAGGAAGCAGAAGCTGAAGAGAGACGGAACACAGCAAGCAGAGCTGCCTCAGTCTCAAAGGGTGGAGTCACCACTCAGATTGACTAAGAATGGAGCAGCCTAAAGCTGAGGGAGCAGAGTTGCTTTCCAGTGGGCCTGGAAGGCAAAGCTGAAGCCCAGGGCCAAAGGGCCACCACCCAGAATAAAATGTGCCCAATACCTAGAGTCTGGAGGGCAGTACCACTGTGTAAATGGTCTCAGAAAAAAAAAGGATTATTTTCAAAGTTTTGAGGGCTAATGTAATGTGTTCTGCTGACTTGCTTGGTGCCTGTTATCCCTTCTTTCCCTCCAATTTTTTCCATTTGTAATGGAAATGTCTAGCGTGTGCCTGTTCCACCATTGTACTTTGGAAATAACTTGTATTCTAGATTTCACAGAAGAGGAATATTTGGATTTTGGACTTGGAGTTGAATTAAGACTTTTGCTATGATATGATGGGGTGAATGTGTTTTACATGTGGCAAGGACATGAATTTTCGGGGGCCAAAGGGTAGAATGTAATGGATTGAATTGTGTCCCCCAAAAATATGTGTATCAATTTGGCTATACCATGATTTCAAGTATTGTGTGATTGTCCACGATTTTGTCATCTGATGTGATTTTCCTATGTGTTGTATATCCTGTCTCTACGATGTTGATGAGATGGGATTAGCAGCAGTCATGTTAATGAGGCAGGACTCAGTCTACAAGATTGGATTTTGTCTTGAGAGCCAATCTCTTTCCAGATATAAAAGAGAGAAGTGAGCAGAGAGACAGAGGGACCTCATACAACTAAGGAAGTAGTGCCAGGAGCAGAGCGTGTCTTTTGGACCTGGGGTTCCTGCGCAGAGAAGCTCCTAGTCCAGGAGACAACTGATGATAAGGATCTTTCCCCAGAACTGACAGAGAAAGCCTTCCCCTGGAGCTGGTGCCCTGAATTTGGACTTGTAGCCTACTAGACTCTGACAGAATAAATTTTTCTTTGTGAAAGTCATCCACTTGTGGTACTTCTGTTATAGCAGCACTAGATGACTATGATAGCAGTTGATCAACTGATTTTTGATAAAGATACAAAGGCAATTCAAAGGAGAAAGAATAGTCTTTTAAACAATTGGTGCTGGAACGAATGGAGAGCCATATGCAAAAAAATGGACATCGACTGAACCTCGTATCTTATACAGAATTTAATGTAGAATAAACCTGAATGCAAAACATGAAACTATAAAACACAGGATAAAATTGTAACTTTGTCAAAAAATTCTTAGATATGACACCAAACACAGTATATAAGGAAGAAGTACAACAGAACGCTCCTTATAAGGACAGTGAGACTACTTCTCACATACTTTGGACATGTTATCAGGAGGGATCAGTCCCTGGAGAAGGACATCATGATTGGCAGAGGATCAGAGAAAAAGAGGAAGACCTTCAATGAGATGGATTGACACAGTGGCTGCAACAATGAGCTCAAGCGTAACAATGATTTTGAGGATGGCACAGGACAGTAGAGTGTTTCATTCTGTTGTACACAGGGTCACTATGAGTCAGAGCCAACTCAATGGCACCTGACAACAACAGTACATAAAACAAAAAAATTATAAATTGGACTTTATAAAAATAAAAATTTTTTTCTCTGTGAAAGGTACTATTAAAAGAATGAAAAGACAAGCCACAGACTAGGAGAAAACATTTGTAAATCACATATCTAACAGAGGACTTCTAAGCAGAATGTGTAAACAATTCTTAAAACTCAACAATAGAAAAACAAGCAACTCAATTAAAAAAATAGGTAGAGGATCTGAACAGACACTTCACTAAAGAACATATATGGATATATAAACTTATAAAAAGATGCTCAATATTATTAGGGAAATGCAAATTATAGCCACAATGAGATACCAGTACACACTTATCAGAATAGCAAAAGACACAAAGCAAATACAAAAAAACAAACAAAAAACCCCTGACAATATTAAGTGTTGGTGAAGATGTGGAACAACTAGAATTCACATACATTCTTGGTAGGAATGCAAAATGGTTCAACCACTATGGAAAACAATTTTGCAGTTTATAAAGTTAAATATATACTTATCTTACAACTCAGGATTCCCACTCCTAGATATTTACCGAAGAGAGATGGAAACCTGTGTTTCACACAAAAACCTATATATAAATACCAGCTTCATTCGTAATTGCCAAAAACTGGAAACAACCCTGTTTTCTATTGACCGACATGAAGTCCCCTTTCCACAGAAGAGGAAACCTAAGGTACATTGCTGTAGTAATGGCCCCCGATTTGTTCATGCCTCCTTGTATCCACATCTCTTTGCACTGTGGCTTTGCTACCTGATGAATTTGGGTTTGACCACGTAATTTGCTTTAGCCAATGGGACAATAGCAAATGTGGCAATATTAGAGGCTTGAAAAGTGTTTGAGCTTTGGGGCTTACTATCTCTTGCAGCTAGTAACCTTAGCCTAATGGAGGATAAGAGATGGCCTGGCTGCTAACCAGAAGGTCAGCAGTTTGAATCCACCAGCCACTCCTTGGAAACCCTATGAAGTGGTTCTTCTCTGTCCTATAGGATAGCTGTGAGTTAGAATCGACTTGGTGGCAACAGATTTGGTTTTAGTTTTTTTGAGCCACCTCAGTTGAGGCCCGAGATATGTGTCCCATCGACCTTCATCTAAGTTGGCCAACCCAAGAATCATGAGAATAAATGTTTGCTGTTTCAAGCCACTATGTTTTGGGGTAGTTTTTAAAACAGCATGAACTAGTGGATACAGTTGATACTCAGGCTGGTCCCCAACACTTTTGATTCTTCTAAGAAACCAGAACTTTGCTGGTACTGAGTAATTTGTGACCTTGGTGGCACAGTGATTAAAGCGCTTGGTTGCTAACTGAAAGGTGGGCAGTCTGAACCCACCAGCTGGTCTGTAGAAAGATTTGGTAGACTGCTTCAGTAAAGTTTTACAGCCTTGGAAACCCTATAGGGCAGTTCTACTCTGTCCTATAGGGTCGCTAAGGGTCAGAATTCACTTGACAGCAGTGGGTTTGGTTTGGTTTGGCTAGATGGTATAATGCTGATCGATTCTCTGTCCACCTTTCTATACATCCTCCCCATACCAAATCGAAATAATTGTAGCCTTAAAGAGTTATCAAAATTACCCTCACATTGCTGGATTGTGACAATAGCTATTTTTTATCCTGAATTTCACTACTGGCAAAAATTTAATAGCCCTAGAGTTCTTGCTGTAGAATATTTATTTAACACAACGTAGTACCTCTTTATGCTGTTGTCATTTTTATCTACTTAAAAAATACCAACTCTCTGAAAAACGAGCCAGGGCTGTGCATAACTTAAGTGCTCAATGTATTTGTTATAATCAGCCATGTGCCTAACTAGTAAAATGAGATTTACAATTAAATGCAGTGACTTACAAAGGGCTCAAAAACAAAAATCAACCAACCAAACAAAATAGGCTCAATTTCAGAGGAACCTTAAAATCAGACTACAAGCAATCGTCACACTATAATTAATAAAACAGTTTAAAGGGAACAAACATCTTCCTTGCATTGAATGAAATATAGGTATTCCCTTGCTTTTCAGAAGTTCATTTACGCTGTTTTTGCTAACGGAAAGAAATCTGAAAAGGATTTTCACTTTAAAGAAAAAAGGCGAAAAGTGAAAATAATAGGGTCACTATGAGTCGGAATCCACTCGACGGCTTTTTTTTTTTCTTTTTTCCTGGAGAGCCACACCTGTTCTCACTCCTCTGGACCAAGTGCGACGCTCAACAGAGTCTGGTCAACATGTTCGCCTCCCGTTTTACATAGCGGCTTGCCTGAGCTCCTTCTTTCAAACTCCTCCACCCTTATTGAAGGACCCAGCTATATCCAATCAGATGCCTTGTGACGTATAACACACCATGCATCGCGAGATCCCATCCCGACTTGGACGTCCCCTGGGCATTTCTCTAACTGTAAGACTCATCCATGGGCACACAGTTAACGTAAATCTCCCTCTTTTGTGGGATTCGAACCCTAGCCCTTCAACCCAGCCCCAATGCCATTGCTAGCTAGGCTACGGGCCTACCGCTCATCACCACCACCGCCTCTCGGCCATGAAGTGTGCTGTCTTACCGATTCTGGTAAGAGAAACTACACAGTACGCATATTATTATTATTTTACATAACCCATGTATTTATCATATTATTCCTACTTTTACTGTATGTTAGTGTTATTTTAGGTTTTATGTTACTTGGTGTGGTTTGGTAGGTTATTTTTTGGGTCTGGGAATGCTCAAAAAATTTTCCCATATAAATTAATGGTAATTGCTTCTGTGCTTTATGCCATTTCAGCTTCCAAAACGTTTTAGAGGAACGCTCTTATTTTCGGATAGTGGGAGAAACCTGTATTATGAACCATTATACAATTGCTTATAGACTATATTCATAAACATACTAAGATTAAACAACCTTTCAGTGATAATCAGTTAATAACAGAACTTTTAAGACATAGATGGATCACTAGGAGCACTCTTTATTCAACTGAATAACCTAACAATCTCGGTGCTTTATAATAAATACACAATTTCCAGTTTAAATAATCTGCATTTTTCCTACTGCTATCATGAGCCATTTAAATGTGCTTTTTTCTTTACCTTTTCAGAGACTGTTTTTATACCCTTATTATTTTGATATCACTCTGAATTTGCATCCTTTTACTCTTTAAAAACTATGCTACATTGGCAGGTTTGAATTTTTTATATGAAAAATGTGAAGTTAACTACGAAACACAAACCTGGCCAAACTCCTACTGCCTTTGAGAAGCTACCCTACTTATCATGTGTTTTAAATGACCATTTTGGTTTTATTTTCATTTACTTATAAAGCACACCTAATTCTTCTAAGTGGCCCATTAATAGTTTATATAAAACCTAGACCAGATGAGACCTAAGAAACGTTAGGGCCTTGAAGTTGTGTTTTATTTTAATTTTAAAAAGAATTAAGATTTCCTTAAACTCTATAGCAGTGTATCCACCCGTCCAAGCATTCCAAAAATCTGAAAGACAGACAGAACCTTCTGTTACTACAAGTAGAAAAACCAATGGAGAGCTCACAAACATTTCAAATATAATTACGAGCCATGCAAACCTGGAATGGCCGTTTCCTGGAGTTGTCCTCTTAAAGAGTTAAAGTCATTTTTCAGATACTTTTCCAGATAGCAGTTTATTTGAGGTACATAAAATGAAATAAATCAGTGTTTATACACAGTAACAAAAATATTTTGAACTTCTATTTACAAATTAATTTCATAAACAAACTGTAATAAACACGACCAAACTAAAAAGTTCTTGGCATCCATCCTTTATAGCTAGAAAAATAAATTATTTTAATAGATATCTAAATGTGTCTCTTGCTGTCAGAGAAATTAATGTACTGCATATACATATTTCCAAACTGTCCCTAACCCTTACACAGACTTATGACTGGGCATTGCTATATTTTTTACATAGAATTGTAAACAGTCTTTAAAAAAGCTAACTTAGCATAACTTTCTACTAGTATGACCTGAACTACATAAAATACAAACATTTTATAAATCCTGTATTTCAGATAACTGGAATTAATTAGATTAACCTGTGGAAATATACAGTACAAATGTGCTGATCATCCACAGTTAGGTCCAATGATTATTTATGGTGAGATATCTTACAATGGTCAGAATAAGATTTTATTCATATTCTTGAAAGGTAGCTTTATTTCCTAAAGCTATGCCTTCAACCATTTCTGTATACTGCAGGAAAGCTATTCTCAATCCAAAATGAAACAAAATCCAGTTATTTGACTTTTTGTTTTTTTCTTGCTTGAAATTGCTCTGTTTTGGTTTTTATAGATTTAATCAACATTGACAAGGAAGGATCAATAGACTTCTTTTGTGATTCCTTTTGAATCTCACTCTCTTTTTTCTTTATTGCCTGAGTAAATTCTTCTTCTTTTTGTTCTCTTTGCCGGGCTTTCTCCTCAAGGATTTTTTCCATAGCTTTTGTTTTCTTGAAATTAGGATCTGAGGGATCCAAATTAAATAAGTGGGAAGTATACATTGCCTGAAATCGTACATCCTTAACATTTACCTGCAAACCAAAAGAAAAAAAATTAGTAAAACAAAAGGCCCAGAAACAGGCTGAAATTTAGAAAATCTGGGAATTTTTGATTATATAAAATACATTCATTCATTAAAAAATTGTTTTTCTACACATTTTCAATGGAATTTTAAGGCCCATCCCTTAAACAAGCAAAGAGCACACTGTTCTTATCATGTAATGACAATCTACTTGAATAGGAACTACAGTGGGTGACACTGGCCACTTAGACAATCAACTCCAGGAAGTTTTCAAGGCAGGGCTTCCCAATACTTACAACAAGAAATCTGTTTCTGGCTGGCGTAAAGAAACCACCTGTGACACTCCCTGCTGGAGTTTTATGCAAAGCATAAAGCAGTGTCAGACTCTGCATTCTGAGTACGTTTTAAATTTTAACCCTGGTACCAAAAGTGAGTAGCTACTGAGATGATTCGTAGATTATAGAATTTAAAGACCACTATGGGAAAGAAGAGCCCTGGTGGTGCATGGCTAAGCATTTGGCTGCTAACCAAAAGGTCAGCAGTTAGAATCCACCAGCCAACCCTATGGGGCAGTTCTACTCTGTCCTATAGGGTTGCTGTGAGTCAGAATTGACTCGATGGCAATGGGTTTGGTTTTGCTTTGGGTTTATGGGAAAGACCAAGGTCTGGTCAGATAAAAGCCCCCAATTTATCTTGTTACTACATACACATTGGTGGTTCTACATATAAAAGCGTACCTTAACTTCAGCCGGGCTTTCAAGTATTACCAAGCACAGCGGTGAACAGCAAGAAAGTGAGAATAGTTTACTGCCACCTAGCATTACCGTGGGAAAAATGAGTCCATCTGGATATGGGTCAATAGCTTTTCCTAGTTATACTAAGGACCACATATGAGAAAAATGTTTTCATGCATGACTATTAATGTGTGAAGGCATTTGTAATAACAGAAGATTTGATTACACGTCATTCTTTGCTTTTTTAAAATTTTCTAGTGTTTTAGGTGAAAGTTTACAGCGCAAATTAGTTTTTCATTCAAAAATTTATGCAAAAATTATTGTGTGGCATTGGTTGCAATTCTCACAATGTGTCAGCACTCTCCCTCATTCCCTTTCTACCCCGGGTTCTCCGTGTCTGTTCATCCAGTTTTCCTGTCCCTACCTGTCTTCTTGTCTTTGATTTGGGCAGGTGTTGTCCATCTGACTGAACTAAGAAGCACATTCCTCACGTTTGTTCTTGTTTATTTTATAGGCCTGTTTAATCTTTAGCTGAAAGGTGGACTTCAGGAAGGGCTTCAGTTATAAGTTAGCAGGGCGTCCAGGGGTCATAGTCTCGGGGGTTCCTCCAGTCTCTGTCACACCAGTAAATCTGGTCTTTTTTTGTGAATTTGAATTTTGTTCTACATTTTTCTCCCACTCTGTCCCAGACCCTCTATTGTGATCCCTTTCACAGCTGGTGGTGGTGGTAGCTGGGCACCATCTAGTTCTTCTTGGGTTCAGGCTGGTGGAGGCTGTGGTTCATGTGGTCCATTAGTTCTTACAACTAATATTTTCCCTGTTTCTTTGTTTTCTTCATTCGCTTTTGCTCCAAACATGATGGGACCAATAGATATATTTTAGGTGGCTGCTTGCAAGCTTTTAAGAACCCAGATGCTACTTACCAAAGTAGGACATAGAACATTTTCTTTATGAACTGTGTTACACCAAATGACCTAGATGTCCCCCGAGATCATGGTCCCCAGCCCTCAACCCCAGTCACTCGTTTCTTTAAGGTGTCTGGATGTGTTCAGGAAGCTTCTATGGCTTTGCCTTGGTCAAGTTGTACTGACTTCCCCTATACTGTGCGTTGTCTTTCCTGTCACCAGAGGAAAACACCTGTCTACTATCTAGTTAGTGATTTCCCCTCCTCACCTATCCCGTCCCTCCTAACCATCAAAGATTGCTTTTGTCTGTGTGTAAACCTTTTCTTGGTGTTTTATAATAGCAGTCTCATATGATATTTGTCCTGTAGTGATTGACTTACTTCACTTACCATAATGCCCTGCAGATTCATCCGTATTGTGAGATGTTTTTCGGATTCATCATTGTTCTTTATCATTGTGTAGTATTCCAGTGTGTGTATGTACCATAATTTGTTTATCCATTCATCTGCTGATGGGCACTCAGGTTGTTTCCATATTTTTGCTGTTATGAAGAATGCTGCAGTGAACAGGGGTGTGCATATGTCTATTTGTGTGACAGCTTTTATTACTCTAGGATATATTCCTAGGAGTTGGATTGCTGGATCATATGGTATTTCTATTTTTAGCTTCTTAAGTAGGCTCCACGTCATCTTCCATTGTGGTTGTACCATTTTACATTCCCACCAGCAGTGCATAAGAGTTACAATCTCCCTGGAACCTCTCCAGCATTTGTTATTTTCTCTTTTTTTCATTAGTGCCAGTAATGTCGGGGTGAGATGGTATCTCAATGTAGTTTTGATTTGCATTTCTCTAATGGCTAATGATCGTGAGCATTTCCTCAGGTGTCTGTTAGCTGCCTGAATGTCTTCTCTGGTGAAGTGTCTGTTCATACCTTTGCCCATTTTTTAACTGGATTGTCTTTTTGTTACTGATGTGTTGAAGTATTCTATAGATTTTAGAGATTAGACCCTTGTCGGCTATATCATAGCCAAAATTTTTTTCCCAGTCTGTAGGTTCTCTTTTTACTCTTTTGGTGGTCTTTTGATGAGCATAAATTGTGTAATTTTTAGGAGCTCCCAGTCATCTAGTTTATCTTCTGGTATTTGTGCATTATCTGCTACGGTTTGTATTGTGGTCATGCCATGTATTAGGGTCCCTAGTGTTGTCCATATTTTTTCCTCCATGATTTTTATCATTTTAGGTTTTACAGTTAGGTCTTTGATCCATTTTGGGTTAGTTTTTGACTATGGTGTGAAGTATGGTCCTGTTTCATTTTTTTTAAAGATGGACATCTGGTTTTGGCAGCACCATTTGTTAAAAAGACTTTTTTCCCCCCCATTTAATGGACTTTGGTCCTTTGCAAAGATCAGCTAGCTGACCACAGGTGGATGGATTTACATCTGGGTTCTCGATTCTGTTCCATTGGTCTATGTGTCTATTGTTGGACCAGTACCAGGCTGTTTTCACTACCATGGCTGTATAGTAGATTCTGAGATCAGGTAGTGTGAGGCCCCCTACTTTGTTCTTTTTCTTCAGTGATATTTTGCTTATATGGGGCCTCTTTCCTTTCCATATAAAGTTGATAATTAGTTTTTTCATCTCATTAAAGAATGCTGTTCATATTTGGATTGGGATCGTATTATATCTGTAGATCGCTTTGGGTAGAACTGACATTTTCACAATGTTGAGTCTTCCTATTCATGAGCATGGCATGTTTTTCCACTTATATAGGTCTCTTGGTTTCTTGCAACAGTGTTCTGTAGTTTTCTTTGTATAGGCCTTTTATGTCCCTGATTAGCTTTATTCCTAAGTTTTATCTTTTTAGGGATACTATAAGTGGTATTCTTTTCCTGATTTCCTTTTTGAAAGTTCTTTTTGTTGGTTCATAGGAATCCAACTGATTTTTGCATGTTGATCTTGTATTCTGCTACTCTGCTGAATCTATTAGTTCCAGTAGTTTTCTTGTGGAATCTTGGGGGTTCTCTATGTATGGGATCATATCATCTGCCGATAGGGATGGTTTTACTTCTTCCCTTCCAATTTGGATGCCCTTTATTTCTTTTTCTTGCCTTATTGCTCTAGCTAGGACTTCCAGCACAATGTTAAATAGGAGTGGTGATAAAGGGCATCCTTGTCCTGTTCCCGTTCTCAGGGTGAATGCTTTCAGCTCTCTACACTGAGAATGATGCTGGCTGTTGGTTTTGTATAGATGCCCTTTATTATGCTGAGGAATTCCCCTTCTATTCCTATTTTATTGAGAGTTTTAATCAGGAATGTTTGTTGGATTTTATCAAATGCCCTTTCTGCGCTGATTGAGATGATCATGTGATTCTTTTGATTTTCTAATGTTGAACAATCCTTGTATACCTGTGTGAATCTCACTTGGTCGTGGTGTATTATTTTTTATATGATGCTGAATTCTATAGGCTAGAATTTTGTTGAGAATTTTTGCATCTATATTCATGAGAGATATTGGTCTGTAATTTTCTTTTTTTGTATTGTCATTGCCTGGCTTTGGTATCATGGTTACGTTGGCTTCACAGAATGAATTCAGGAGTATCCTTCCTTTTCTATAGTCTGAAATAGTTTTAGCAGTACTGGTGTGAGCTCTTCTCTGAATGTTCGGTAGAATTCTCCAGTGAAGCCGTCTGGGCCACAGATTTTTTGTTGTTGGGTCATTCTTTGCTTTTTAACTCTTTATAAGAAAAACAATTCACCAAAGAGTTCACAGCAGAATAATGGAACTGACTCACATAAACTGGAGCTGCAGAGTGGCATCATATAGACCTTCTATGCGCTACTTACAAGTTATCTGTATGCTCCCTCCATTCTTTGAGCAAATTCAAAATATCCCCCATGTTTTTCCATGCTAATGGTTGGAAGTCATTAAGCAGTTCTTGATAGTGTTTGTAGGTTTTCTGTAAAGGGTTGAAACTCATGCATAGGGACTCTGTGGACATTAGGAGTAGGTACTCACCAAAAAAGAGGGAAAGAAGTCAGAGATAGAAACAAGAAATAGAGCAATTAAAATTCACTTTGCTGGTCATTCTACAGTGAGTGTGACCTGATGTGACGCAAGCCAGCTATTCCTCATTTGGGCTTAATTCTGCATACCTTTCCAAGAGTGAGCATCATACAGAGAGTGAGTCTAACATTAAAAGCTTAAATTTTTTGGTGTAACGTGGCTACCAAAATATATACCAACTACTTCACCTGGTACTCAACCAAAGCCACAGTGACTTAATCCACCCTGAGGGACCAATTGGCTATGCTGGACTGACTAAAAGATAGTAGCTTTGGTTCTCACTTGGGCCTTTTCTGGGACATTTTCAAGGGTAACTTTAACTACACTCAATTTGTCTAAGGTGCTGATTTTAGACTAAACCCCAGCTTTAAGAAGCTAATGCTGTATGTCCCTGGTGTTACCTCAAAGTCATCCTCTAATAATTCCTTCTTTTTTATGAGCTGTTTTTTCTTCTTTTTGCTCAGATTCTGGTGCTCCACAATCTTGTCGTAATTGAAGTGTTTCTTGCTGCCCTCCTCCTCTTCCTCATCCATCATGAGCAAAGCCATTTCAGCCTGTGGAGAGAAGAAGTTCAAATATACAAGATTTCTCTCCTGCCCCCAAAGTAGAATGGGGTACAGATACTCTAGGAAAGGAGAACTCAATCACTGATGCTCCAGGGTAACATCTATCATCTGTAATCTGATTGTGGATTAACGAAATTCATAAAGAAACCCAGAGATCTTCGTATAGTGGTCAGATACTCTTTAGAAGCAACATCAATACTGACAGCAGGAGAGGAGTGAAAGCTTGTATTTAAAAAGCAGACCACGTTTCACTGAGTGTAACTGGTTAGTAGCCTGCGTGAACAAGAGTATCCAAATTAAAATTTCTTGTTTTCATTTTAGTCCTTCTAAACAATAACATTAAATCCAGCAAATGTGTAGTATTTTTTGATAAACTCAGCAAAATCTCCAAACATGTACTTTCACAACAAGGAATTTATTTATTTATTGGATTTACTCTCTCAATATTGATACGTTTCTATCAAGGCAAGAGCCTAACATTTGTTTCTGAAATGTGACATAATGACTGTTTCTTCTAGTGACCATGGGATTCAACGTGATCCCTGAAGAATCAAGTAAACCATCATGTATACTGGAAAAAAAAGAAGGTTCACAGGCCTTTGTGAATCTTCCTATATTACCACTTCAAAGTGCTTTACTTTACTTTCCCTTCCATCACTGGCATGTGCAGTTGGCTTTCTTTTTAGAACCAGTTTGAACAAGGAAAGTTTTTCTGTTGCTTTGAAATTAACTTCATGAGTATTTTGTATATGCATTGAGTGGAGAAAAGATTAAGATGCAGGTGTCAGGTGGCCAGTCAGGATCACTCCCTGACAGTGACTGGAATGTCAGTCAGCCTTAGGGCATTATAGACTCCAATTCTTGCCTCAGCGGAAAAAAAACCTCTGCACTGTGGACCTTTGTGGTCATTAAAGTACATGGCTCACTGCTTTTTAAGAAAGACTTTAATTCTTTACATACGTATGCTGTTTGCAATAACAAAGAGAGGAATTAGCATTTAACAAGTCATAAAAGCAAAGTCTGTATTACAGGATAGATTCAGATTGAATTAAAATTATTTTAGAACTTTTAATAATAGTATTTTCTGTCTCAGTTATATTAAGGGTTTTAAACAATAAGATATATTTCTCTTCATCATAAATGAACATGCCATAGGTTTGAAGTCAATTTTAACTTTGTATTAGTTGGAGAAATGATATTTGGCAAAGAGGTGTTATTTAAAAATTAAGTTGCTAAATTTATGTTTTTTAATTGATTAATAAAATTCATTGTTAAAATCAGTTATTTCCTTATTAGGGACCCTACAAACTCATGTGAAAAACTTAATTTTCAAGACACATATCAATTATCCACTAAACATGTAACAATGATCACTTTTTACCTTTTGACTTTCTATTTCAGTTTCTTCCTCTGGAGACGTGACATCTTTTGCATATTTCAATGATTTTTTCTTTACACCTGGCACAATGCACCGACATAAGAGGGTTAAAAATTATAGGACTATCAGCAACAATCCGTTTATACTAGTAACAAAAATACAAGATATCTAGAAATAATCTTAATAAACGTATAGAACCTAAAGGAGAAAAAAGATATCACTGAGAGATGACTATGGAAATAAATGGAATAAATACAATGCTTCTGGATGGGAAGAATGAATATCATCAAGAAGGAGATTCTTCTGAAAGTAGCGTATGGTTTAACTTAAACCCAAACCCACTGCCGTCAAGTCAATTCTGACTCACAGTGACCCTACAGGACAGAAGAGAACTGCTCCATAGAGTTTCCAAGGAGTGCCTGGTAGATTTGAACTGCTAGCTTACCTTACCTACAGACTAAAAAAAGAAAAACTGTAAGATCGTTTCAATAAATGTAGACTAATCATTTGATAAAATTCAACATCTGTTCATGACATAATATATAAATTTAATGAAATTCTAAGTAAAATTCCATTCAGTAAAGTCTTGACAAAGATTAATGAGATGGATTTGATACACCAGTGTACTAATGATATAGTAGTGTACTAAAATATACTACAAAGCGAAAACAACCAAAAAATTACCATCCTATATACTAAGAACAATGAAACAGTATGATTTAGTATATAATGAAATGTAATATCATTCATCAGTGGAAAAAGAAGAGATTATTCAATGACTGGTGCTGGGTATTTACTTCATTCTGGATTTAAAAAAATCAACCTTATTTTGTATAGCAAAATAAAATGCAGAGGGATAAAGAGTTAAATGATAAAAAATAAACACTAAACCAATGACAAAACACAGGGGAACAGCTACCTGATATTGGAGTAGAAGAAATATTTTCTTAGCATAGGAACTACCGAAGAAATAAGCAAAGAAAAAACTCAAATGATTTGAATATGTAAGTTCCTAAAACCGTACATTAAAAAAAATCATATGCAAAATGCAAAATTTATCTTTGCAATAACAATATGGCAGTCACGACCTGTAAGTAAAGATTTAGTAAAACTCCTTCTCCTTTTCTAAGCACCAATTTGATTTCAGGTTAATCTTCTAGCTCTATTACCAAACAAAAATATTCATGGTAAAGTGGCTTCTGACTGGAAAACTGCATGAACTGAGGACTCTAGGTGTCCATAACTTTAGGCTTCCCCAAATGTAGTGACTCTTTTAACTGGTGGCATGTCCCTTGCAGGGACCTAGAAGCTATACCCCCCACCCAAAAACAAAACAAAACAAACCCACTGCCATCAGGTCGATTCCGACTCACAGTGACCACAGGGCTGAGTAAAACTGCCCTGAAGGGTTGGTTTCCAAGGAGTGGCTGGTGAATTTGAACTGCTAACCTTTTGGTTAGCAGTCTGAGCTCTTAACCAGCCATGGCAATATTGGTTCTTATTTGGGACATAGGAGTTTTAGACCACGGTGGCCACTACATCCAGTTAATCTTTCCTTCTCCTTGGCCATTCACTCTTGAGCTTCTTTGCTGTTTCCTGCTTATTTCCCTGATCTCTAAATATTGGAGGGCCTTAGGGCTCAGTCCTCAGACCTCTGCTCTATCTATGCTAACTCTCAGGGTTCTTTCTTTCAACCCTATGGTTTTAAACATCTTCTCTTTGTTGCTGACTTTATTTTTATCTTTAGCCCTAACTCCTCAACTTCAGACTCTAACTGCCTACTTGAGATCTCTTTTGCCCAAAGAATAACAATATATTTCCAAGAACTTCTAGAAATCCTTCCTTCAGCATTGCAAATAAATCAGTTATTTAAGTATCAACTAAACAATAGCTCCTTTAGGAAGAAAGCAGATGTGGATAGTTTGTTGCAAAAAAGTATTAATGCAATTATCAACATGGACTTAGACGTTAGATACGATGCTCTCATCCTGAAGGGGAGGAAGTAATGTGCACTGGTTAAGCGAAGAACTTGACTCTGGAGCAGCTGGCCTGGGTTTAAACCCTAGTTTTACACATTCTAGTTGAGGCAGTTTGTGTCCGTGTCCTTATCTGTAAAATAGGGATTAGAATAATAGCACCTACTTCATAGGGTTTTTGTGAGGACTAAATGAATTTTCATTTAACCCTTAAGTGTGACATGCTTAATTAATGCTTGGCACATGGCGCTATCACCATACTCATAGCAACTCATAGCGACCAGGGCTGCTATGAGTCAGAACTGACTCGATGGCAACGGGTTTTTGTACATGGTGCTATATAAATGCTTGCTATCATTATTATAGTAAGACTATACATATAAAAGATGTCCTGATTCCTTGGTGAAAGGGCTGATGTCATATTTTTTCTTCCTTTTTTTCTTTGTGCCTGTTGGAATGGGAGGGCTTCAAAGGGAGTTGGTGCCAGACTGCTAAGTATGAAAGACTAGCCTGAAGAGAAAAAGTTCAGAATCTACAAAGCCATATTCTGTTACTCTAGACTCTTACTGCACAATGTTGATCCTCCCTGAACCTCTACATTGTCTTCTTTGAATAAGCTCTACCTGTTCCTTCCACTGCAGAGAAGCCAATGATCTCTAAAGTAATAACGATTAACAATTACACAGCAGTTACTATGTAAAGCAGTACTGTTCTATTCACTTTACATGTATCAACTAATTTAATCCTCACAACAATGCTGTAAGGTAGATTCTATTATTTATTTTAATCCTCTGAAGAAACAATTTATTTCAGGTTTAGTTAGTGGAAAAAAAAATGTTGCCATTCAAATGGATTCTGACTCACAGTGACCCTATAGGACAGGATAGAACTACCCCCCATAGGGTTTCCAAAGCTGTAATTTCTGCCGAAGCAGACTGCCACACCTTTCTCCCATGGAGCAGCCGGTGGGTTCAAACCACTGACCTTTTCATTAGCACCCCAGTGCTTAACCACTGTGCCACCAGGGCTAGTGTCTTAGTAAGTGAAATATAATTCAAACCGAAGCACTCTGGCTCGGGCTCTCTACTATTAACCATCACACTGCACTTCTTCTCTATCAAATGTCAACTCCCTCCAACAGCCTTTTGAATTTTTTAATTGTGGTAAAGACATATGTAACAAAACATATGCCATCTCAACAATTTCTACATGTATAATTCAGTAAGCCCTTTCAATTTAAAATGTATTTTGTTGCCAAATAAAGTAAAATTCATAGACCATATAATTGTGGTTGAATAATGCAGTTAATGGGGGATAAAAGGAAAAGCAAAGCCTAAAGTCAAGAGAGGCTCCAGAAACTGCTCCATGTCCCTGCTGTAATTATGCAGACCTGTCCTGCGGACATCCCAGCCGAGAGAACATACCAGTATAAAACCACTGCTAGACTCACGCCTCAGTGCTACCAAGGCATTTGTTTTGAACTTCCAAGAGGAAATATTGTCTGCAGCTCTTCTCCCTAAAGTGAGTATCTTTTACTTGTCACATCTCAAATGTCTTTTAGGGAATGCATCTACCTTAAAATTATAAGCTTTTCTCTCTTCTAATATATGTGTATGCGTTTATATTTGTATTTGCATACATAAACACAATATGTAAGTATCATCAAGGTTCCACTCTCTCAGGTCTGAACCCACCTCTTTTACCTCTGCTCCTGTGCTCTCAAGGCAAGAGCTTCTTTTGAAGTGAATGGGAAAGTGAAATGTGCAGAAGGGCCTTCTGTGTCAGGCATAAAAATCAGGCTGTATGTGATTAATACATAAAGGAGATAAAGATCTTCACATACAGCTGTGGGAAATAATTTCAAAGAGCCCACAATGAACTGTTCCGGGTTTTGTAACAACCTGGTGAAAAGTCATAAAAATAAACTTGAAAGGAAGACTGCAACACGAGAGAAAAAAAGAATCTCCAAGATGGTTGGGGATAAAAATGATATCCAGTTTCAGTGTGATGAAAATTTCTTTGCTCACAAAGGATTTACTGTGTGCTAGACTGAGCTGTTTAGTCAAAAGATAAATAATGTGTAGAGATCCTTTCTTCACTGTTAACTAGATCATAGTAAGAGGGGACATGTGAATTTATTTCAAAAAAATTCTTTTTCTCTCTTTGTAAAGTTTTCAGACATTCAGTACTATGGAAAAGAAAGTACCTACTCTAAAATGTTATTTTTTATTTTTCAGTGAATCCTTTGGCAAGGAAGAAACCCCATATTCTGGGGTTTCAAAAAGTATATACTGACTGGGACTTTTGGGCAACATGGCGCTATAGTCAGAAGCACCATGCCATCCCTCTGCAGCAAAGATCAGAAAAACTAAGTCAAACAGAGTCACACGTCAATCCAGAAACCCTAAGCATCAAATGAAGAGATAAAGAACTCAGCCAAGCACCGAACGGAATAAGAAACTGACCAAGAACACAGAGCAAGGAGAGATACATGCAGAGGTCCCCTATCAGCTACCGCAGCACAGATCTGCCATCTTGGGCTCCTATCGGAGATCAGCGAACAGTGTGTATGAGAAAGCAGCTTCACGGAGCTTCCAGCAGGAGACAGAACAACTGGTAACCAGCGATACAGGCTTTCCCAACTCCCACCCTTCTTCACCCCAACTGAGCCTCCTCTGCTTCCTGCAGCCACAGTCTCTTGGCTGGGAAGAACCAGCTTCAACCCAGTGTCGCTTGGATTCCCCCTACCCACACTGAACGGCTCCCTGAGGGCCTTTTGTTGGCTGCTGGTGTTGCCATTTTCTGCTTCTTTAGATTTTTTCCTTACCTCTCACCACCTCCCCCTTCTTCCTCTCAAATACCTGGCTCCGTGTGCCATCTTTGTTTCTTCCTGAAAGGCTGCGAAACACCGCTCAACTGTGAAACTGCTTCCTGGCCCGTGCCGCCAGGCTGGTGGGGCCTCCAGGGCTTTTTTGTTTGTTATGATTTGTTCTGTTTTGATTTGTTTGTTTGTTTTCTTTTTTTCTCGGCTCCGGAGCCCCTTCTAGCCGGGCTGTACTGCGTGGCTTGGAAGCTACTCCCTTACTCTGTGCAGACACACAGGG